GTGTAGAAATAATCTCACCACTTCAGAATTAAGATGGGATCTTTTTTCAAGGTGACTTGGTCTTTCTGCTAGTGCCAGTGTGAGCAGGCTTTCATCAACATCTCAAATTTTATTGGGTCAGATCCTATTTTTTTATTAATTTTATTGAGAAATAAATAGCAATAAAACAGTTTCAAAACGAATTAATAGGAGAGATTCAATAATTCATACATTGCATATTGTTATCCTCTTACTGGTTATTCATAGTACAAGATGCACACATGATATCCTGTCCAATTACTATTAGTACAAATCTTTCTTCTCATTGAATTAAGAGATTGTAGCTGTATATCTGTATAAGACATAAAGGTAAGACTTGAAGTTATAGCACCACTAGAAAAAAACAGGGAAAATGCTTCAGGATATTTGAATGGGGCAAGACTGTATTTGGATAAGACTCCAAAGAGCAAAACCGGGCAAGTGGGATAGCAGGTGCACTGTTTCTTCTGCACAGCAAACATTCAACAGAGTACAGAAACAACCTACAGAATGGAATAAATTATTTGCAAACTCTATCTCCAACATAGGTTGATGTCCAGAATATATCAGAAACTATAAAACTTCCATAGACAAAAAGAAATAAAAAATGGGCAATAGATTGAAATAGGCATTTCTTTTTAAAATATATGTATAAGTGGCTAACAGATACATGAAAGAATATTCAACATCATTAATCAAAGAAATGCAATCAAATTATTGAGACACCATCTAATATCAGTAAGAATGTGATTGATAACACCACAAAAAAACAAGTGCTAAGGAGAAAAGGGAACCCTTGTATAGTGTTGGTGTGAATGTGAATTTGTTCAGCCATTGTAGAAAATGTCAGCATGGCATGGTGAGTCCTCAATAAATTAAAAAATAGAACTAGCATATGATTCAGAAATACCACTATTGATTATGTTTACAAAGGAAATGCAACCAGTATATTGAAGAGACACCTGCATTCCTATTTTTATTGCAGCACTATATACAATAGTCAATAGAAATGAAAACGAGTTGACTTCCATCAGCGGATGTGCAAATGAAAATGGTATATATAAACAATGAATGCTAATCAGCAACAACTCAGATGGAACTAGAGATCATTATGTTAAGTGAAATAAACCAAGTAGGGCAAGGCAGTACTGCACGATTGCACTCAGATGTGGAATCTAAAAATATTGACCTCACAGAAGTTGAGAGCAGTGATAGTTATCAGAGGCTATAGAGATGGGTTAGGAGAGTTGGAGAAAGGTTGATTCATGGGTACTAAGTTATGGTAGAAATTAGTGCACAGCAGGGTAACTGTAGATAACAATAATATACATTTCAAAAAAGCTAGAAAAAAGGATTTTAAAAGTAAAGAAATTATGTGTGGCCAAGGATGAGACGTAGCTCAGCAGCACAGTGCCTGCCTGGCAAGAGTGAGGCCCTGAGTTTGATTCCCAGTACCAAAAAAGGAAAAAAGTAATGCTTGAGGAGATAGATATGTTTAACCTATTTAGAGCATTATGCAATATATACATGTACCTAAACATTACATAAGAAGCTATACATAAACCATTTTTCTTAAGAGTCCCTGCAGTTGTTAGATTAATAGGGGTTAAATACATGCAACAGTTACATTCTGAATTCACAATGTTTTGTATTGTACACATCCTGCTGTCAATTTTATATCTGTGGCAACTGGGCTTATGAAACTCTTGACACCTGGATACCCTGGGCCAGCAATCAAGTTCTAGAGTGGTGGTACATGCCTATAATCCCAGTGCTGGGAAGGCTGAAAACAGGAGGATCACTGAGTTCAAGCTGCATAGTGAGATCCTGTACCAAACACAGAAATTAAAAAAAAAAAAAAATCTTGAAAGACAGTAATATTGATAACTCTGTCTCCTACACATACTTTTTTTTCTTGTGGTTGGCTGGGCCCACCCTGGGGGAGGTGCTGGTGTGGTATGCGGTGGGGGGATTGAACCTCAGTCCCTGAATTTTGCCTAAGTAAGCAGGCCTTTAGACCACTGAGCTATCTGGACAGCCCAAATGCTCTTCATGTGTAGAAAAAGAATTTGAGTCTAAGGTGAAGTTTAAAGCAGCAAGATTATCTAATTTGCTGCCAATCTCTTTAAATTTCAGTTTGGGAACATTCCATTGACAAACTTTCATATTGACATGATTCCTTGGTTGTGTCTGGCTACTGATAAGCCCATCTAATGCACTCTTTGTTAGTGTTTTTTAAAAAAATTTATTTTTTATTTTTAAAAGAGTACAAATTAGAATACAAGAAATTACAAGTGACACAGAATTTTGCTTAACAAAATAATACAAATTTCATAGTATTTGCTGTAATAGTGTTGTCTTCCCACCTGTTATCTTTGTTTTTAAAATTTCTGTACTTACATTTCCCATCTGTTCTTCCCTATTTTTCAGGCCATAGTAATAATTATTCGAAGTTGCCACCTAATAATTCTCAAATGTGTTATAGTTGAACTTGGTTCTGAAACTTACTTTGTCTTGTAGCAAATTGCCTGTAGCCTTATCGTTTTATTTTGTTGTTGTTGTTAAAAGCTGGATGTGAGGTATTGGACAGCAGGAATCTAGGCCTTTAGTGTGAGGTTTTACATATGGCCAGGAGTTGGCTCTGCTTAATATTTGGTGTGGCTATAGCTGCCAGAGCCTTCAAATTTCTCTCAGTTTTTGCCTCATTGCTGTCTTTGGATTTTCTTAAAAATTTTTTTGTCTGGCCGGCGAGATAGCTCAGTAGAATAAGCACCTGCCTAGCAAGCTCAGGGTCCTGAGTTCAATCCCTGGTACCTCAAAAAACAAAACAAAACAAAAACAATCAAACCAAAAAAAAACTTACCATCCAGCAGAAAAATATAAAAAAGAAATATAAGAAGTAAAGCTGGGCTGGTAAGATAGCTCAGTGGTTTAAAGCACCTACTTAAAACAAGCTTAGCAAAGCACAGGGACCGCAGTTCAATCCACCAGCCCCACATGCCAGCCAGCCCCGCCCCCTGGTGGGCTGAGCTGGCCACACACACACACACACACACAGACACACACACACTCAAATAATTAGAAAAAAAAAATTTAAAAAAGAAGTAAAGCCATGCTGTTACGTTGAGCTGTAGGGGACTCAGGTCAACAATTTCTGACATTGCCAATCAAGCGGAAGACCCAATACTATTACGGACTACTGAACTCTTTTAGAATATTTTACTGAGTTTACACACCTATAATATTTAAATGATGGAACTTAACAAAAAAAGGGGATACAGATGAATGTCCATTTTGTATCTGTGTATTCAAAGTGGTTAGGATAGATATTTAGTTACATTCTCTTAATAAATAGAGCGATTTGTTCTAATGGTGTTTGTAAATAGGATATCAAGTCCGCATCTTGTACAGCAACTAACCACTAGGAAGAATGTATGCAATGTGTTAATTATTGAAACTGTCCTACCAATTTGATTTGAAACTGTCTCATTGCTATTTATCAATAAAATTATGGAAAAAATAAATCAACGAGATTCCATCTTAAAAAAATTTTTTTTTTTTTTGTCTGAGAGAACATTTCACACATCTTCTAGCTGCAATCCAGTTATACCAGAACATTTTTAGTGTGGAGTGTGAGAAAGAGAAAGTGTTGTATCATTTTAATATTATTCTTCAATCTTTTAATAGGGCCTTGACTTTTACAAGTGTTTCTTAGCTGCTTTGCACCTTACCCCCCTTAAATGAAACAGAAAGTTTAGAGAGAACGGTAATCTGAGAAATGTCCTCCTCAGGTAAAATAAACTTAGCTCTGATTAAAATTTTTCTCCTGAAAGTAGGCCTTTATTATGTAAACTCTGGATATATTTCACAATAATTATTCTTCCTACCCTAACTAGAGTCACAGAAAATATTTCTTGGTTCTTCACTATTAGAACCTGGAGGAATTTCTGGAGGTACAATTTATGGAAGGGTTGGGACCCCTTAAGAATACTCCCATCAGTAATTTCTCTCATGTTAGTCCAAAGAAAATCTCCAGCAACTTCTCAAAATCATTTATGTCCACACAAGGTGAGAACTCTACAGTGGCTTTTGCTCACGTAAGTAGGCTTTATCCCAGACTCTCTCAATTCCACTTGCTCTCTCCCAATTTCAAGGTGGTGGTTTGTCTTACTATCTCATTTGTATGAGGGATCTAAGAAAAGTAATTGATTTTTAATTTGTCAAGGTTTTGTTCGATTGGTTTGGTTTTGGGTTTAAGATTGCGAGCAGCAACTTCTAAGGTTTTGATACGTGGAAAAACTAAAAGTTCAAGATGCTATTAATCTTTAAACAGATGCGACTTCCAATTGGGATGACAAATTAAATCAAATTATACTACTGACGTTTTAAAACCAATTTTTTGGGGACCAGATTTCTCAAAGTGTGTCAGTATATCTAACTTTTTGACCCATTCCTGTTCTTGAATTCCATTGAAAGTGGGCCTCAGCGTCAGCCAGTGAAATCAAGCAGGCCGAATCCTCCCATCACCTATGCATTCTGGCTCTCTTCTTGGAGCTGGACCACAGCGCACAGTAAGCCGCATATCCTGAAACAACAGAATCCCAAGCTCGTCAACAGCCCCTGCGAGGACCAGGACCGCCCTGGACGGAACCGGAGCCGGGGCCCGCCCGGCCGCGCGGTGGGAGGCGCAGGCTGCTTCAGCTTCGCTTCAGTACTCAGTCGGAGTCGAGCAGCTGGAAAACAGTGCCTACGGCCGCGACATGGGTCATGAGGCCCAGAGGCAGGCTGACTGTGGGAAGCCTTCGGCCCAGCGGCCCGCGGGGACGAGCGTCCGCCGGATCCACCTCGGCACTACCGCGTCGTCGGCCCGCGGGAGCCGCCCTTCCGGCGCTGAAGAGGCTCGACGCCGATTGGCTCTCGCCGCGGCCAATGGGAGCAGCATCCTGCCGCAGGCGGCGCCCGTTGCCTGGACACCGTGTAAACAGGGCGAGCCGGCGGGAGGCTGCGGCGGCTGCGGCGGAAGTTTGCTTCGGACCTGAGTTTTTGGTCGGCGAGGATGGTGAGCCGGTTGGGAGACGTTAGCCACGTGTGTTTGTTGTTTACAGCTCGCCTGCTTCAAAAAAAGACTTGGAGGTGTCTGATGTGAAAATGAAGCTGGCGATTTGTATTTGCTCTCCTCGAGGACCGCTGGCCATGCTTCTCTTTCTTTCTCGCATCCCCCTCCCATTAGGTTACTTCTGTAAATCTGGTATGGGTTCTCCGCACGAATAGAAATAACAGTCCAGGAGAGCAGCGGTAGACTTACGTTGGGACGACTGGAACAGCGTCTAAACAGGACCTTGTGGCCGCGGGGTGGTGTGGGTGGGGACAGAGAGGAGGAATGGATTTCTCGGCGGTCGGTGGAGCGCGGGTGCATACCTTTGAATTCTAGCAGTACTTTTCATTCGGCACTTTAACTTTTCATGCCACATCTCTAAATGAGATGTATAAGTACCTATTTGATACAACACTGTATTGAGCAGCCTCATTTAGTATTTTGAAGGACGTTAAAACTGTTACCTGTTTTTGTATCATTTGGTATAGACAGACAACACTTTGGAATGTTGAAGTATGCATACTTTTGTTTTTTCTATTATAGGCTTCCAAAAGGAGAATTTTGAGCTTTACTGAAAGGCATCAAAAATTAGTAGATAAAAACTACTGCAAAAAATTGCATGTTGAAGCACTAAAAAAGATAGAGAGTCAAGTCAGGAATCAAATTGTGCAGAATGAAAATGACAACCGTGTTGAGCACAAGAGATTTCTCAGGTTATTACAGGATGAGCAGTTTGAGTTGGATATGGAAGAAGCCATCCAAAAAGTAAGTTTTAATATTCCTTATTAGTTTTCATCGTTTACACGTTGGCATGATCAGACCAGAGCAGGTAAAGATGCCTCATTTTGAGTCATTCTAGTTTAGTGATTAATGAACTGGCCTTTTGGGGCCAAACTATCTTTGACTGATAGGACTGCTTTATCTTAGATATAAAAATGTGAGTGATTTGCTTTTGCATCTTATGCTTCAGATGTAACATGGAAAATAACAATATTACCTCCTACTTGGGACTATTTTAATGAATAATAAATATAAAGCCCTGTGAAAAGTGCCTCAAAACATAAGCATTTTAAAAACAAAAATGAAATTTTTAATATGAATTTCTAGTTTTATTTATATAAGCACAATTATCTTGCTTCATAAATTTCTGAGGACAAAAATTGAAGGATGCCTTTTTGAATTTACCAAAATTAAACATTATTAGGTGATAGAAAATGAATGCTTTTGTGTTAAGTGTACATTGACTCACATTTTTTATTTTTGAAACACTCTTTGAATTCAGGTACCATGTAATATGGAAATAGTTTATCAGTGTTATTTCTGAATAGTTTAAGGGATCAGAGTAGTAGATGAAAGGCAACAAGAAGTGAGATATATGGAAAGTGAGTTCTCTTGAATGTGAAAGAGGTGTTCTCCTGTTTCATTTAGTGCGTGCTGTTCATCAGCATTTTGTAGGCTGGTGTGGAAAATAGCAAAGGTGGTCTTTTGTAAGTGAAATCCATCCCTCTGTTTTCCAAGTTCAGGAGCTTAGGCGTGATTTTTTTCATTCTGAGTAAGCACATTCCAGAATTTTAATTTTTTTATTCTTTTCATTCTTTGCTCTAATTTTAAAGAAAATCCTAGATGGCATACTCTTTTCTGCATGCTTCAGTATACATCTGACAAAATGTGGATGCTTTCTTACAGTACAGTACCATAATATCATTATTTCACCCATTCCTTAAATCTCTGAGATTATGTCAGAAATCTTTGACAGTTGGTTTGTTTTAGTTAGGATCCAACAAGATTCATATGCTATATTTGGTTGTTACTTCTGAGTCCCTCTTAATCTAAAGTTGTCCCTTCTTTGTCGATTGTTTTAACGACTTCATGCTTTTAACATGTTAAAGGAAACTAGGTTAGTTGTTTCATAGAATATCCTACATTCTGTATTTATCTGCTTGCTTCCTCGTGGTTCCTTTCACTTGTGCCCCTCTTTTGCTTCCTTTAAGTGAGCATTAGTCCTAAAGACATGATCAGATTGCAAACCACCTCTTTTTGGCAAGAACATTCCACGGGTGATTCTGCTATCCTTGGCATTATGTCTCATCTATAAGCATGTGAGGTCTGGCTGTTTTGCTGCAGTGTTGCCAGTACTGGTTAGAAGATTCCATGAGGCAGCCTGACTTTCATCACTGTAAAGATCCCCATCACACCTGTGAACTAAGCTACTGCACTGCAGATGGTAATTTGTAATAGTAGTTTCATGCTTGGAGAGCCTGTCATTTTGGTCTTCTAAATGTGGGCTGCTTGTCATGACATGCTAGTTGCTGCTATGATGTCTCTCAGGTAGATGGGTGTTCAAAAAGAAGGGGGTGATGAATGAAAGCAAAAGGCATGAAAAGGAATATTGTGGGACTGTCCTGCTTCAAGGTTGTATATGGTGAGATTTTTGGACTTATGTGTAAACATAAGAAGTATATAATTCTTTATGCCTATTTTAAAAATATATTCTAATTTTTAAATGTTTTTTATTATATTCTGTAGGGACTTAAAGTTCAACATATCCATACTTGATGAAAAATACCT